AGGAATAGGAACAGGGTGACAGGGGGTCAACAGCCATCCGAGGACACGGGCCCCTCCCCCGACGCGACCGAGACACGCCGAACAGGTGGCCTTGACCCCCTGTCTACCCTTCTTGGCGACCGTCGGAGTATGTGCGCTGGTCGCCACCGCTCTCTGCATGACGCTGGGGCGGGGCGCTTTGTTTTGCTGGGCCAGGGTCGGGGGTCTCTCAACCTGGGCCCCGGCTTCGCTGTCTGCATGCGTAACGTCCTCGAGAACAGTGAACAATCGTCTACGAACCCTGGCGGCCTTAGCTTCAACGTACTTGACCTTCTGGGCCTGGCCAGGGTGGACTTGAAATCTCTTCGCTGCCTCGTCTGCTTGGGCATCCACAAGCCTGTTGCCCTGTAGCCAAACCTCGGGACAATTCATTTCGGTCCGTCTGGCGTCGGAAACATGGCTCTCAACTTTGTGGCAAAAAACTTGCCCCCTTGGGCCGCCTGAAATCTCCTCCAAAAGTCCCCATTGTGTCTGGGTTTGCTGGCGTCGGGACGACACGCGCCACGGAAAACATACGCCGAATCAATGATGAAGTGGAGTTCGCCTCCAGGCGGTGAACAAGATGCACGGGGGGGCCCTCCAGCCAGCAGATCAAGGCTAGCAGCTCGGCGCGGTTACTTGACTGCTTGGGCCCTGGGAGGTTCCCCGCGCGGCCACTGATGGCCCCTGCCTGGTTCCAGGCCGGGTCTTTGCACGGGGCGGCAAGGTGGGCGCGCGCCCATCCACACCTGCGGAGGCGGGGGTCCTTGGGGTTGGCTCCTCCAAAGCCGTCTCCCGCCCTCCAAAACTGGCTTCCTGGCTGGGGGCGAGATGGAACCGCTGGCCAGGAGTGCCAAGGCCAACGCTGAGACTCGTGGGATGGCGGATCGACCGCCGCCCATCCGCTTGGGGCGACGCCTCGGAGCCAGAAGCAGGGGCATTGGTGGTGGCCATCGGCCGCCTCTTGTTCGAGGTCGGCTGTCTCGTGGCATGGCAGCCTATGATTGGCGCTACATTGCAACAACCTGTGCAACGGGGTCTCGGGGGGGTTACTATCACACCTAGTGCAAATCGAACCTGCCTCACGAAAAATGCCTGCATCAAACAATCGGGATCGTGGCCGCGTCAATCCCGTGGCCATGGCCGTAACGTTACCTCTGATGCCTGGGGCCGTCGTGGACGTCATCTCGTCGAGAGTGCGGAGGGACTGACGGTGGGAGAAGTCCGCCCCACCCTCCAGCCCCCCGCCCAAGCAGTGCTTGCTAGCTTGCTTCCACGCTTGGCTCCACAGGCTCTGAGTGAATAATCGATGTCGCCTGCCTGGAGAGAAAGCTGCCACCAATCGTCAATGACAAGGGACTTCCAAATTAAATAAGTCTGATCAGTGGCTGTCCATTCCGCGTCCAGAAGAACCGCGACCGCCCCAAACATCGCCCCTCTGGCATATCTCCAGCGGTCGGTCTTCGGCGTCTGGGCGACGCGGTCGGCCACCTTAGGCCAAGCCCTGGAGAGTCTCGGGAGGACATGCTCACTGTCTTTCCCACGCGTATTACATGGACACCAGGTCTGAAGTTGGCGGACTTTTAGTTCGATGCCTGGGTTGCAGTTACATAGATCAAACGCCAGGTACGCAGTCAGACAGGGTCCAGCCTTGCGACCCCCCAAGCGCCCCAGCGACTGCGCGCTGCACTCTTAAAATCTGGGTCGGGGCCATGCCTGCAGCCATGGCTCCATGCGCGATGCGATGCACTGGAGACATCGGGGTTAGCTTGCGCCTGGCTGGGCGCACTCGGCTGAACTGGGAAATCTTGCGAAACTTGGGCAGCTGTCTAAAGGGCTGACTCGCTTGTTGCGCTTAACTTTGTGCTGCCGCTTGGACCTTCTTTCGAGCCCTAGGTCAGCTATGACTGCGCTTGGCTTGAGTTTAAATTCGGGAACCAACTTGTTAAATTCATTGCACGCTGCTTTGGCCGTATCCATGCCGGTTCCGATCACACCAGGCTTCCCCGATATATCCAGGCCGAGGTCGCGGGCCCCCGATAAAACAGGGCGGCCGCCTGGGCCAGGAGGGGGGTGAGGATGTGTTTCGGCCCGTCAGCGCGCTGATTGCTATCATCCACCCACTGGTACGAACGAACACCTTTGGGTAAACATTGGCAGTGTATTTCCTCCAGAAGGTCATATAAAACAGCACGGGCGAGATTATTGGCGTCGCTGTCTCCTGTGAGAAGCGAGCCTGTTGGCTGGATGGGTGCCGCGATGGCACCTCTAGAGCGCAGCATCCTCGGCGACATGTAGAGCATTGCTGCCATGCCGAGCTTCCTGGGGGAGAAATCCATCTTGAGTGCCGCCTCGAATGCCATGATTGGGTTGACGCTGTCATAGAAACCCGCGAAATCCCAGATCACATTGACGTAGTGGATGTCCAGCTCGTCGTCAACTTCGTCACATAATAAGCGAAAGATGCCACACTGAAGGGCGCTGCTGCCCTTGATGGCCTGGTCCCAGTGGCCAGCCTTGACAGCGAACCAGCTTGCCCCCAGCACCTTGCGCATCTGGGCCCCAGAGCGCATCGTCCAGGGGATGAGAGCCACACCCCTCTCGGAACCGTCGTGCTTCGGGAGCATTCCTTCCAGCACGCTCGCTCATCAGCTGTCACGGCCACGTCATGTGTAGCTCGCACTCGTTGTAAAAGTCGGCCAGGTCTTGCTTGGCTTGGAATGGCAGGTTCCGCATGTCCAGGGGCCCGATGACGACGACGACGACGGCGGCGACGACGACGACGACGACGAGCACAACGACGACGACGGCGACGAAAACGACGACGGAGGCGACGACGACGACGACGGCAACGACGGCGACGGCGACGACGACGGCGACGACGGCGACGACCACGACGACGACGGCGACGACGACGGCGACGAGCACGACGTCGACGACCGACGGCGACGGCGACAGCGATAAGCACGAGGACGACGACGGCGACGACGACGGCGACGATGACGACGACGACGACGAAGGCGACGCCAACGACGACGACGACAGCGACGACGACGGCGTTGACGACGACGACAACGACGACGACGAAAGCACAACGAGGACGACGACGGCGACGGCGACGATGACGACGACCACGGCGACGACGACGACTGCGACGACCACGGCGACGACGACGACGGCGACGGCGACGACGGCGACGACGGCGACGACGACTGACGGCGACGACCACAACGACCACGAGACGACGACGGCGACGACGACGACTGCGACGGCGAAGACGACGAACACGACGACGGCGAAGACGACGACGACGGCGACGACAACAACGGCGACGACAACGTCGACAGCAACGTCGACGAGCACGCAGGCCTCGACGACGACGACAGCGACGACAGCGACGGCGACGAAAACAACGAAGACGATGACGACGGCGACGACGGCGACAGCGACGAACCTCACGACGAAAATGACGACGACGATGACGACGACGACGGCGACGGCGACGACGACGGAAACCGCAGGAAACACAAGACGCAACGCGAAGAAACTTTACCTTTGAGGTCCAGGCCCGTCAATATGCGGACATTCAGGACCGAGGACAGAGGACTACAAGGGACCTCGTCGTCATCGTCGTCTTCGTCCTGGTCCTCGTCGCCGCGTCGTCGCCGTCGTCGCTGCCGGCCGCCGCCGCCGTCGCCGGCGCTGTGGGGGGGCTTCGGGGGGGAAGGGGGGAGGGGAGTCCCCTCAGATCGGTTCGACGGTGCCGAATGTTCGAGGGGGAAGGGCCTCCCCCCTGGTTCAAACGCGCCGCCGAATGCTCCCAAGGTAAGCGCCCGTGAAACGCGCTCCCTCGGACTGCGAAGGCTTCTACGATTTATGCCTCAGGAGCGCTCTCATGGGAGAGGATGAGGTCTTGGGAGCAGCCCCAGTCACCGCCGAAAGAAACGGGGGGGACCAAAACGAAAGACCTTTAGCGGTTACACGAGCCCCAGGGCCCGCACGCGAGCCCCACGACCCAAGGCCGCCACGCCCTCTTCGGAGAAAGTGTGTATCAAGATCGTTCTCAAAATAGAGGTCGGCCAAGACTCTTTCTCTCTCCTCCATCACTGGATGCACCAATGGAGACGAGCACGCGATGAACTGAGTATGCACAAGGTCTTGCCCACAGGCAGGACCAGGTGATCCTTGAGCGCCCTCTGCTGCTAGCGTACCCCGTCCGCACAGTGGCGGAGCCGAAGGGCATGCTTGACTGTCCCCGGCGCCACCTGGGCCGGCGGCTCTGGCCAGCGCCGCGGTGCCCACAGGCCCAGCCGCGCTCCGCCTGCGCAGCGTCTCCAGCAGCAAGGCCGCCCCCTGCCCTGTCCCTCTGTTCCACCCGACCCGACCTCGGACGCACCCGATGAGTGCGCGTGCTCGCCGCGCGCCGCCGGGTCCTCATGGCAAGAGAAGGAGGCAGGGCAGAAGAGAGTAGCAGGCAGGGAGGATGAGGAGGCCAGGTGGGGGGGGGCAGGGAGGAGGAGGAGGAGGAGGCAGGGAGGCAGGACGAGGAGGAGGCAGGGAGGGGGAGAAGGTGGCAGGGAGAAGGAGGAGGAGGAGGAGGAGGAGGAGGAGGAGGAGGAGGAGGGGAGGAGGAGGAGATGGAGGAGGAGGAGGAGGAGGAGGAGGAGGAGGAGGAGGCACGGAGGCACGGGGGAGGAGGAGGAGGAGGCGGAGGAGATGGAGGAGATGGAGGAGATGGAGGAGGAGGAGGGAGGAGGAGGAGGAGGAGGGAGGAGGAGGAGGAGGAGGAGGAGGAGGAGGAGGAGGAGGAGGAGGGGGCAGGGAGAAGGGGAAGGCACCAGGAGGCAGAGAGGCAGGAGGAGGAGGAGGCAGGGAGGATGAGGAGGAGGCAGGAGCAGGACGAGGAGGAGGACGAGGGGGAGGCGGCAAGAGGAAGCAGGGAGGAGGCTGGGCGAAGCGACGGTGGGGGGGCGCCGCCGGGCCTTCTTGGCGGCCTTCACGATGGCCACCTCTCTGGCTGGCCAGGAGGGGAGAGGGCGCGGCTCGGCGGCAAGGGGGCATGCGTGATCGGGGCGCGGCGGGGCAGCCAGGGGGGGGTAACATCAGGTCGGGCACGTCCCCCTGCAGGCGGAATACCCCCAAAATGCTCCAACAATGTTCAGAAATAGTCCAAAAATCATCCCCATACTATTTTTGACTATTTTGGAATATACCTCCTGTGCAGAGACAGGCTCGACTTAAGGGTAACACACGACGACCCAACATGCCCGCCAAGATGCCCGCAGGAGATTCCCACGGAGCCCTCAGAGGGCCCCCAGCAAGCACCCAAGGGTCCCGAGGAGGCTTCCGAGAGAACGCCCACGAGGGCGCTAAGAGGCCCTCCTAAGAAATCGAAGCTGCACGTTTCCTTTTCTTGGGGCCCGCGGGATGGCGCAAGTAAGCCGCTTAGGTCGAATCGAACTCTGGGAACATCAAGTCAGATCGTCCTCGTGAATGGCCCGGGTCACTCCAGGCAGCTGCGCCAAATCATGACGAGAGAGCCTGCCTGCACGATCGCCCCGAGGACCCATCTAGAAAAGTGACGGAGCCGCCGTGTTGGCAGGGACACTGCTCTGGCGGTAGGGAGAAGAGAGAGGACTGGGGATGGGAGGGCGCATCGCAGCATCCACGACACGTGCTGGGATTGCTCTGGTCCTCTGCCTCCTCCTGACCTTTCCTCTCGCCCCCTCGCTCCCTACTGCTATCCTTTCTGTCTCCTCCTCCTGCCCCTGCCCTCTCTACTTCTGCTCGTCCACCTCCTCGGCCTCATTCCCTCCATCCTCTGCTTCGGCTTCTCCCCACGTTGCTGTTGGGTGCACCGGAGGAAGTCAATCCTGAGGCCTTCTAGATCTCCGCGGCGAAGACGAGCAAGCCGAGGGAGAGTGCCATGCAGAAGGCTTTGAATGGATGGAGGAGGGAGTCAGAAGGGAGGGATGAGGGAATGTGGGGTAAGGGAGGGAGGAGGGCTGGAGGAGGGTGGGAGAGGGACGATGGAGGAATGAAGAACGAGGTGAGGTACATAGGGGGCGACCCACACCTCCGGGTGGGACCCTCCTCCGACTTGTGATTTGTGTCCCAGGGGGCTCTCGACCCCCCGCTGACATCCTCGCATCGTGAGACAATCAACGCGTGTGTTGTTTTATTGTCTGCCTTCTGGGGCCCTGGCCAGAGCCCCAAGACCTTCAAACAATTACCTACTCAGCATGAAAACCAGGTTTACGCGAGAGGTCCACACATCTGGGAACCACGTTGTGAAACCAATTACGACGTCGGAATTCTGGGCCTTCATGCTGAATGTTTGACGGCTCTGGAGGCCCCGTCCACAACTGACAAAAACCGGCCGAAGCAACTTCCGTTCTTCCTGCTCTCCCACGGATCTCTGCTTCCGGGGCCCTGGACAAGATGAAATGGAGGTTCCTGAAGACCTCCGGAAGCCCAACCATTCATTACGAAAACAAACACATAACTCGAATACAATCAGGCAGCCTCCATATCCCAAGAGGAGGGTGAGGAGGAGGGGAAGGAGAAGGGGAGAGAGGATGAAGAGGGAGGGACACGAAGAGGAGGAGGAGGACCAGGAGGAGGAGGAGGAGGAGGAGGAGGAGGAGGAGGAGGAGGAGGAGGAGGAGGAGGAGGAGGAGGAGGAGGAGGAGGAGGGGGACGAATGGGGGGGAAAGTGAGGAGAAATCTCCACAGAACCCCCAGGTGACAGTATCCAATAAAAACATAAGCTTATCCCGAGTCTTGTTACTCGAGACGAGGAGGGGAGGAGGGAGGAGCAGGAAGGGAGGGAGGAAGGGAGAGAGAGGGAGGGATGATGATGATGATGATGATGATGATGATGATGATGATGATGATGATGATGATGATGATGATGATGATGATGATGATGATGATGATGATGATGACGAGGAGGAGGAGAGGAGGAGGAGGAGGAGGAGGAGGAGACGGAGGGGTAGGAGGAGGAAGGAGGAGAGGAGGAGGAAAAGGAGAAGGAGGAGGAGGAGAAGGAGGAGGAGCGGAGGAGGAGGAGGAAGAGGAAGGGAGGAGGAGGAGGAGGAGCAGGAGGAGGAGGAGGAGGAGGACGACGGCGAGGAGGACGAGGAGGAGGAGGAGGAGGACGAGGAGGAGGAGGACGACGGCGAGGAGGAGGAGGAGAGGAAAAATGAGAAAGAGGAGGAGGAGCAGCAGGAAACGCAGGAGGAAAGGAGGAGGAGGAGACGGAGGAGGAGGAGGAAGAGTTGTGCCGGCGGCCACGACATTCGAGCGGTCCTCGATGGGCGGCAACCCGAAACAGACCGAATTGCCCCGCGCGCCGCTGGCAAGAACAACCAACACCGAACCGCGAAACCCGATCGGATCGGAATGTGCACTGCCACGGGCTGCGCTGGCACGGAGTCGGAATCGAATCGGATCGGCAGCGCCTGTAACTGGTCCGTGTGAACATCTTGCAATCTCAGATCTTTCGAATCAGACCGAGCCAGCCGAAAGCGATGATATCGAATCGGATCGATCGGATCGAAACAGACACTGGCTGGAAGGTGTGAGAGGGGGGTGGGGCAGGAGCCTCGCCATCCTGGTGGGCCAGCTTCGCAAGCGCCGTGGCGGTGAAGTACAGCGGCAACGAGGAGTTTACCTGTCGCAGAAGCCAGCGCGGCTCAATCTCCGAAGACGAAGCAAAGATCGGGACAACATCGGATCGGGATAACTCGGGGATCTCTGAGATCCAGCGGTTCTGGAGGATTTATCGGGCGCCGCGGCCGGTGGACGCTGTGAAAGCGTTTTGGAACGCTCTGGAGCGATTGATGCCGATCCAAGGCCTGCCTTATCCCCAAACCCACTCACGGCGTGGAAAGTATCGGGACGGACAATTTTCCGCCTCTCGGGGCACTCACCGGGCCCATGGGCTGTCAACAGCCTTACTCAAGCGTGACATCCCCGACGAATGAAATCACAACAGACACATATCGCCACATCTCTTTCCGTTTCTCATTCCTCCTACTCTCATCCTCCCTCGTTCATACCTCCTTATTCTGCTGGTTCTCCTGCTTTTGTTGCTCGTCCTCCTCCTCCTCCTCCTTCTCCTCCTCCTCCTCCTCCCTCCTTCGCCTCCCCCGCCCGCAACAAAAAAGCCATGCAGCTCATTATGTGCCAGCCTCTTTTCCTTACCCCATCTTCTTGCCCCCCTCATCGGCCTTTTTCCCTTGCCTCCCTGCCTCCCTGCCTCACTCTGCTCCCTCCGCGCCCCCCTCTCCCAGAAGGGAACGGGCGCGAGAAACAGAGGTCGGGGGGACACGGGGGGGGAGGCAGGAGAGGAGAGGCAGGGAGAGCGGTCCAGCGGCGAGGGGAGGAGGGTTCAGGGGGGGGGGGGAGGGCGGAGGAGAGGAGGGGAGGGGACAGAGGGGGGCGGGGGAGGGGAGGGGAGGGGAGAGGGGGTAGGGGCAAGCTGGGTGCGCTCGCGTCATATCTGACGTCCGACCCATACCTCCCATCCCTTAATGTATAAAAGCTGTTAAACATATTTCGGGGAGACAGTAAAAAAATGGTATTCCCCAGCGCTGTAGTGCGCCTATGGAAAACAAAAAGGAGGCGGGGCAAACTGGATCGTTTGAGACGTCCCCGCGACCGCCCTGGCGCCCTGCGTGCAGGGGCAGATTGCTGCGCACCCCCTCTTGGCGTCAGGCCACGCCTGCCACGCCCTGCGACCCCAGCGTGGATAGAGATTGCGCTCAGGGACCATTCCCTGCGCACCGCGCACCATGTCTGGGTTGCGAAGAAGCCACACCTGACACGCCCGAGCCTGGCGTGGAAAGAGACCGCACTTGGGGACCATCCCTTGCGCACGCCCCCTGGTGCCGAGAGGGCCACAAGTGCTTTAAGATGGCCTCCAAGATGGCGCAATGTGGTCCAAGTTGGCTCAAGATGGCCTCATCAGACCGGCGACATGTGATGAACGTATTATGCAACTAACGTTTGTTTTCGGAGGCGGGGAGTCGAGGCGGAGGGGAGCGGAGGCAGAGTGGAACAACAGGACAGGAGAGGGGTTAGACCAGGTTACGACGAAGGCCGGATCGCCCTCAGGTTACAACGAGGGCCGGCGCGCCCTCCAGGCTAGACAGAAGGGGCTACACCAAGCTACAATGACACATCGGCATTCTCCCTGGTACCGAGGTATATACAAGTGGCATCGATCGGCATCCATGGATTTTTTCCAAGGGGACAGATAAACAAATAGTTATTCGGATGCGAACTAATGGCAGTCGGGATCCCGGGGGGGGGGAGGGGGGGGTCATCATTTTTTAAACCGGTTTTGGACATTACCATGGCCTGGGTCTCCTCCCCATTCGCACAGTCGGATGTCGTAGCATGGCGTGGCATTACACGGCATGGCATGGCGTTGAACATCGAGGGGGAGGAGGGGAGGGGGGAGGGGGGGGAGGGGGGAGGAGGGGAGGAGGGAAGGAGGGCGGGGACGATGGGGAAGCAGAAAAAAGGACGCGGGGGCCACTGGGGGGGAAAAGCCTGCCCTCCCCCCGCACCCGTGAACTCCCCCATATGCGGCGGGCTCGTGCCGAGACCACCCCCCCGCCGGCGCTCGTCTCCGACACCGCGCGCGGGTGGACCTGTTTCCCCAATCAGTGCTTGCACTGAAGGGCTCCCAGCGGAAATTGAAAGATTTGGCGAAAATTTCCCGCCGATTTTGGTAGCAAGCTGGGTTCCCGGGTTCCCGGGTTCCCTGTTCCGGGCCGATTTCGGTGGGTTCTGAGTTCCGGGGCTCCCGGGTTCCCGGTCGATCTCCTCAGCGAAAACCATCCACTGATTGGGGTTTTCCTCTGGTGTACTTGACGATCGGCGGAGAAACATCCAGATGTGCTCACCTCCAGTGGGCAGCACTCACCAAAAAACCGAAGCGCCCCAGAAGAGCCCCAGCACCCCATGCCCGAATGGTGGGACGCTGTGGCACCCCGCCCGCTCGTCCACATTGGCCAACAGTCAGCCCGTACCAGAAGGACGCGCGATAAGGATGCAAAAGCCTTGGAAAGCCCTGTCGACACTCTGCGGGCGGGGCACGGCCAGCGAAACCGGCCAAGGACGTGCCGAAGGGGAAGCCTGTATTGGTAGCCTGGCAAAATCGGTCGTCCTTACTACGCAAGCTGACTGAATTCTGGGCCGCCGGCGTTCAGCCCTGAACACCCGCGGTGGGGTCGCATCTGTGTCGACACGGTGCGAACCTGCCGTGCCCATCTGTTCCTCATCTTCGGACGCCCGAAATCGGTACGGAAACAATGGGTACACTGCACAACAACAAGTGTCGTCCAAAACCAACAGCGGCCGCTGTTGGGCTGCCGGCCTTCTGCCTCAAATGGACAACCTCTGCGGCGACGCGGACAGCGAATCTGGTTCAAAAGGAAAAAGAGCTGCTGTCGGTCTTTGCACCCACTCTTTCCGTACCCATTCCGATCGTCCCGATCATCCTTCTCCCCTCCTTTCCCTCCGCCTCCTCCACCGTGGGGCTCCCAGGAAGCGGCCATGCGTTGAAATGGCACTCGGGCGCTCGGGGCCCCCCCGGCATCGGGGCCCCCCCTGTGGCCCTCTCCCGTGGCCCAGGTCTGGCTTGGCCGCCTCGGGCCACGAGAGAGCCGACGGAGGGAGCCCAGGAGTCCAGGAGAGCCCACACGGCCTCGCTCCTCGGCCCTCACTCCCGGAGGCCTCCAGAGGCCCCCACAGGCCTCTGAAGAAGGGCGGGAGCGAACAATGTCATTGATGCGATCGGCTCAGGATGCGTTGGAAGGCCCTCGCTTCTGCAGCCCGTGTACGGTACAATGGAATATCTGGGGAACCCTGGGCGTTCAGCTCGCCATGGCTCGGACGTCCATTCCCCGTGCATATTTTGGTTTCGTGCACTCAGTCCATCCACAAGATGATCCAAGATGATTCTAGATGGTCCAAATTTTCTGGCGGTGGCCTCGCCGAGAAAAAATATATGCGCCTCTGAGGTCCCAGGAAGTCTCTAGAGGCAACTCGAGTCCATGCAGGAGCAGGCAGGGGCTCAAAAACCTCGATCCTCTTCCTTCCTGTCTCTCAGGGCGGGCGGAAGGGGGTGATACAGCAACAGGACGAGAATGCTGCCATGATGCGATTGGCGCAGGAGACGATCCGAGAATTCCGTGGGTCCTGGCGGCCCTAGTCTCCAGAGTCCACGCGAAAGGGGGGAACCTGGAAGCCTAGGAACGGGACATTATGGCTTGCCCCTCTGACGCAACAGGGTGGCGTAGCGAATCAACTGCATGCAATTTGCTTTCCTGGCGCCGGGAGCGCCAATGTGTGGAAGGGAGGCGTCGGGCGTCGGGGCCGAATCCAGCTGCGGGCAGCAGATAAGTGCCCCTCCAATTTTCCCATCACCTCTTTCGTCCGCCCCGAGCCTCGGTTACGACGAGAATAATCCCACCAGCCCTCTGGGCGTCGGTGGTTTAGGGCGTTTCCTCTTCCACCCCTCCCTCTTCCCCTTCGGGGAGGGGTTTACCCCTCCCCCTACCCCCTCCCCACTGACCTGGACAGGAGGGGCGGGGAGCGGTCAGAGCGTCCAAGATGGCCCAGGACGGCTCCAAGAGGGCCTCAGAGAGCCCAAGATCGCCTCCAAGATGGCTCAAGATAGCGCAAGATGCCTGAAGATGGTTCAGAAGACGCTCCAATATGTTCCAAGACCGCTCCAAGATGGTTCCAAGTGCCCACAAGAGCATCATTAGAGTGCCCTCAAAAGGCCGAAATGCTTCAAAACCATAGAGAAAATCAATGCTTCTGGTGTTCTCACTTTTTCGCTTCCGAAGCCCATCCGAGGCCTCAAGATGGCGCCAAGATGTCCCAACTGGGCCCCAACAGGGGCCCAAGAGAGCCTCAAGACTGCCTCAACAGCGTCCAAGAGCGGGGTCCAGGAAGCGATTTTAGAGGGGTCCAGGAAGCGATGTTCGACAGTCTGGAGGGGCAACGCTAATTAAAGCTCTGCTCTTCTTTGATATATTTGCTCCAAGATGCCCCCCCAGAGCGCCCCGATGGCGTCTCAAAGGACCCCCAGACGCCCCAAAACTGCTTCAACATAAATTCAATCGAGCGCTCGCGCGGGACGCGAAGCCCTTTCTCATCCCCCTCTTCCTCCTCCCCCTTCCCCTCCTTCTCCTCCTTCTCCTCCCTCTGGTCCTTCTCCTCCTTCTCGTCCTCCTCGTCATCTCCCTACCCCGCATCCTCCCCCTATCCCCCCCCCCCCCACCCACCCCACCCCCCTCCCCTCTTCCTCCCCCCCCCCCCCCTCCGACGAGGATTCCTTCTCCATCCTCCCCCTCTTGGGGTACGTGGCAGCTCCCCCCGCCCTTTGTTGTTCTGCATGCTCCCCGACTTCCCAGATCACCTCAACTCCCCTGAACATCGTTTCTGGATGGGCTGGTGGGGATACGCGAAGCGTCAACAGTTTCAATCTGCGACTCGCTCAAAATATGTTCACTGAATTCCAGAATATCTAGCACTCATGGTTATACAGCTGGTACGGAACAGTAGGAAATTAGGGACAGCTTCTAATATCATGGCTTCTTCCCTCACTGCCTCCCTGCCTCCCACTCCTCATTTAAAGGAGGAGGCGGATGAGACGGAGCAGGAGTGAGGAAGTCGAGGAGGGGAAGGGGACGAAGACGAGGAGGGGAAGAGGAGGGACCAGGAAGGAGAGAGCAGGGCGGAGGAGGAGGAGGAGGAGGAGGAGGAGGAGGAGGAGGAGGAGGAGGAGGAGGAGAGAGAGGAAGAGGAGGGGAGACGGAGGAGGAGGAGGAGGAGGAGGGGAGGAGGAGGAGGAGGAGGAGGAGGAGGAGGAGGAGGAGGAGGAGGAGGAGGGGCCATGTAGCACAAGACCCACCAGGGAAGCGACCACAGTCGCTCATGCGCCTAGAAAAACCAGTGAAACCTCGCCGAGCTCTCCCAGTTCGGGCGCGGCGGCTTCCCTGCTTCTTCTGCCCAAGGCCCACTGCCCAAAGCTTTCTGTCTCGGCACGGGAGGAGCATCCAGGATGGGCAAGGGAGGAGAGCAGGGAAGGTGGAGGAAAAAAGGGAGGGAGGGAGGACGAGGGAGGAAGAGGGAGGGAGGGAGGAAGAGGGAGGGAGGGAGGAAGAGGGAGGGAGGGAGGGAGGAGCAGGGAGGGAGGGAGGGTGGGAGGGATGGCGGGAGGAAGGAGCAGGGAGGGAGGGAGGGAGAAGGAAGGAAGGAAGGATGGGAATGGAGTCGACGATGACGCTGCCGACGACGCCGACGCCGCCCACCTCCGCGCAGCAGCCGAGGCGCCGCCGAAGGTCAGGGCTCCCTCAACCAGGACATTGCGGGCCAGGGCTCACGCAATGCGCCTGGAGAGAAAAAGACATGGAGAATTGCTCTGGCCCACGGCCGCAGTCTTCACAGGCGCGGGGTCTATCCGTGTCCCCGTTGAGGGGGCGCTGAGAGTCGGGGGGCGCGAAGGCGGGTCAGGGGCAGGCGGTAGGGTTACAGGAACATCGTTCTAAACGGCTGCCGGAACAAGAAAGAACGAGCATCCAGCTGGCCCCGTTCCCTGATCCCACCTTGGGATACCCCCCTCTACTTTAGCATGGGGGAAAAGGGATCCTGAGGGAGACGGGTCCAGGACACCGGGGCCTTCCCCCAAGTCCACTCCTTCATCCTGAGGATCGACTTCTGACGGCCCCAGGGCCCGTGGAGGGCCCGAGGGCCCGAAAACGGCGACGAAAACACAGGACTCGCTTCCCTCAGGACTCCTTTCCCGGATGAGCGGCGCACCAAAACGGGGTCGTCTGCGCCGACGTTGGCGCGTAAGCTCCCTGCGCAAGGTCGCGTGTAAGCGCTCTCGTTGCGACGAGAGAAGGTTGATCAGGGACCGACCGCCCCAGCATCCCTGTAGGCATACCACGAAAAGTTCTTAGATCCCCAGAGCGTTCTGAGAAAATAAGAACTGTTCTCAGGGCATAAACCCGATGTGATAAAACAAGGCAGTCCCAGTCAGAAATGGTCTAAGAACACTTCGTGGGAAATCACACACAAGGCTCTCAGAACATTGTTTGGTAGGCCTATACGCACGCCAGGACGCTTCGCCACCGCTTGAGAGAAGGGCCGCCGCAGGGTCGGCCGGCGCACCCCGAGGAAGCTCGTGGTCATGTCGATCTCCGCGACGTTCACCTCTTGTTGTGAGCGGGGGGGGGCCAGGCGGCGGCGGCAGTGCGGGTGCTGGCCGCGGCCGCAGCAGTCCCTGCTCCGCCTCGCCCTCCTCCTGCTCCTCCTCCTCGCTGCCTCCTCGCTTCCTCGCCTCCTCCTCGCTTCCTCGCCTCCTCCTCGCTTACTACTCCTCGTTTCCTCCTCCTCGCTTACTCCTCCTCGCTTCCTCCTCCTCCTCCTCCTCCTCGCTTCCCCCTCGCTTCCTCCTGCCTCCCCTTCCTCCCGGAAGGGCTGAGGGCCATGGATCCGCGAAGGGAGCAGCCCTCGCCTCCTCCACCGCCTCGTCACCCCTGCTGGCTCCTCCCTCCCCCCCACCCCCCCTCGGGCCCCACTTCCTCCTCCTCCTCCTCCTCCTCCACCTCCCTCCTCCTCCTCCTCCTCCTCCTCCTCCTTGCATCCTCTTCCTCAAGCTCAGTCTCCTTCCTCCTCCTCAAGCTCAATCTCCTGCCTCCTCCAAAATCCTCCTCCTACTCCTCCTCAATCCCCGTCCCTCCTTCGTCGCTCGGGCCTGCGCGGGCTGCGCCGATGCGGGCGCAGATCGGGCCCCACGCAAGAGTGAGAGGCGGAGCGACGGAGGAAGCAGCCGCGGAGCTAAGAGAGGGGGCTTCTTAACGTGCCCCTGGCCCAGGGGCCCGTGGAGGACCCGAGGGTCCGAAAACGGCGACAAAAACCCAGGACTCGTCTCCCTCAGGACTCCTTTCCCGGATGAGCGACGCACAGAAGCGGGGTCGTCCGCGCCGACGTTGGCGCGCAAGCTCCCTGCGCAAGGTCGCGCGTAAGCGCTCTCGTTGCGACGAGAGAATCGGGTGTTGCTAGAAGTGCCCGTGGCCCAGGGTGTCCCAGCTTTTCGCTCCATGTTGGAGCCCCTGGGGCCCTGTGGGCCTCGTGAGGGGTGCTCTGGAGGCCGTGTGGACTCCTTGGAAATGCTGGGGGCACCCTGGGCCAAGGGCACTTCTAACATTACCCGACAGGGGGGGGGCGCGGCCGCTTGTCCACTTCGCCCCGTTCCAAGGCCTCCTCGCCTGTCCACGTCACCCTGTGTGCCCTGTTCCTCCTCCCCCACAGTCCCTACGTAGCACCACGCAATTGCGGATAAGAGTGAGGGGGCGGCGGGGACGACGGCAATCTGCAAGGCTCTAAAAAATACCGCAATCGGATAGTTTTACAAATCATAACGAGCCCGCCGCAATCGCCGATTCTTTCGGTAAAGCAATGCTGGTGGCAAGGGGTGGTTCGTGGGTGGGTCGTGGGTGGGTCGCGGGGTTGATCGCGGGCGGTTCGCGGGCGGGTCGCGGGGTGGGTCGCGGGTGGGTCGCGGGGTGGTTCGCGGGCGGGTCGCTGGGTGGGTCGCGGGTGGGTCGCGGGCTGGTCCCAGGGTGGTCGGGGGGTGGGTCGCGGGTAGGACGACGACAACGTACAGCACGCAACACGCAACAAGCAACAACAGCAATCACAATAGCAACAACAGCAGCAGCAGCAAGAGCAACAATCACAATAACAACGGCAGCATCAACAACATTAACATCAACACCAACAACACCATCGCCACCACCAACACCACCACCAACACAACAGCAACAACACCAGCACCACCAACACCAACATCACCACCACCAACAACAATAACACCACCAGCAACAGCATAAACACAGCCAACAACAATGGCACCAACACCAACAAGTCCACTAGCAACAACAGCAACACCAACAACAGCAGCAACAACACCATCAAATACAGCAACAACGACAACAACAACAATAACAGCAACAACACCAACCGCAACAACACCAACACCAACACCACCATCATCACCACCACCAACAAGACCAACGCCAACACCAACACCAGCAACAACAACGCCACCAACACCAACACTAACAACACCAACGCCATCGCCGACACCAACACCAGCAACGCCACCAGCAACACCAGCAACACCAACGACAATAACAACATCGAAGGCAACACCAACAGCAACAACAACACGAACAACAACAGCAGCAACAACAACAACTACAACAAAGGAACGCCGGCTTCCTGATCCCCTTCCAGTGGGGCGAGCTTCCAAGTCACCCTCCGCAAGCGCACACAGGGTTTCTGACGTCCTTCTGGGGAGGGGGGGGGGCGGGGAGGAACACCGCATCGCATCGTACCAGCCTCCGGCGGGAATTCATTTGATGGTCAGATCCTGCCGACGAGGCTAAGGCGCCTGCAAGCGCGGGAAACTCCCAGGTCATGTCGTCCCCACGCAAGCTCGGGATTTGCTGAACCATTAGCAGGGAAACCCTACTCAGGAACCCTTACTAAATAATGCTTAATAGAGACACTGAGAAAAGAGACCGACCCAAAGAACCTTTACTAGAGAATCCCTACTAAGAGAACCTTAGTAAGGAAACCGACTAAGGAACCTTCACTAAATAATACTTGCCCAGAGGACTTTGGTCAGGGAGCGCACCAAAAGAACCCTTACTACATTATGTACCATTACTAAGAGACCCTTCGCAAGGAATCCTGACCCAGGGTCTCTGAGTCATAATCGCCAACATCAGCATCATCCTCACTAACACATCCACCACCACACTGCCATAATCATCAACATTCGCATCATCAACATCACCATCGACATCATCATCAAGATCGGCATCATCATCAACAGTAGCATCAACATCATCATCGCAACCATACTCAGTATCAGCATTATCATGGCCATGTCATCATCACGGCCAACATCTCCATCATAGACCACACTCATCACCACCACCATCATCAACATCATCATGTTCAACATCGTGATCATCAACATCATCATCGTCACAACATCACCCTCATTTTCCGCCAGCCGCCCAGGCTTTCGCCAGCAAGCATCCACATGCCACCACATGGGGGACATATTCCTGGTTCCTGAGCCACCTCCGCCCACGCCCTCCCCTGACGCGGGCGGAGACACGAAACAGTCTTGCATTGCTCCAATAGCCCCTGGAGGCCTCTGGGCCACTGGGTCCGCAGAAACACAGACAAACGCCCCAAAAATGTTTACACCGTGCCTCATCATGCCCTGACCTTGCACGGCTGTGGAGCGCGCGCACGTGCGTCGACAAGCCGAGTCCGCAAACGTTTGCGCGTCAAGGCAATACTTCTGCCAACCCCGGCAAAACGTCCGCCGGCTGCCCACGGCACCAACTCCGTGACATTTGCACGCGCCTCTGCGGACTTCCGCCGCGCATCCACCGGCAAACCGCCGCACGCAGCTTGACTCCAATGGCTGCCCGATGTTCCACCCTGCGCAACGCGCGCATGGCACGGATCAGCGGGACAAAAATATCACTTGATATGCAACGACCTTTTTCGGGAGCGGCCAAGAGGGGGGCGTCCAAGAGGGGGGGTGCAAATCATGGCCGGCGGCATGTGCGCGGCCCAGGGGGGTGGCCACCACGTAATAAAATAAGAAGAGGCGCAATGAAATCTGGGGAGGTATCATGGCCCACGCCATGATACACCCCCCCCCTAGTCATCACCCCCCTCTTTGCCGCCCTCGACTTTTCCCCCTGCGGCCTAGATGCCCGGGCAATAATTGTCACAGGTGGCCCCCCTGTGGGGCCGCACGCGGTGCATGTCCTGCGACCTGTCGTGCCGGTCGGCCCCCCGCCTCTGGGTGGCCTCTCGGGGCCAGGAGGCTCGGCGGAAGAGGGGCCACTGGCAGTAGAGCCACCATCACATACACGATTCAACATCACCAGTAACATCATCATCATCATCATCATCATCATCATCACCATCATCATCATCATCATCATCATCATCATCATCATCATCATCATCATCATCATCATCATCATCATCATCACCATCATCATCATCATCATCATCGTCATCGTCATCGTAATCATCATCATCAGCATCATCATCGTCATCATCATCATCATCACCATCATCATCATCATCATCACCATCATCAACATCATCATCTTCATCATCATCATCATCACCACCGTCTCAAGCGAGCAGCCATTAAGAGAGAGAGAGAGAGGTGGGGAGAGAGAGGGAGAGAGAGAGAGTGAGAGAGAGTGAGAGAAAAAAAGGAGAGTCAGTTCCATTCTTGAGTACGTTGCGAAGAGCTACCGAGCGAGAGCTCGACTCCAGAGTAAAGAGTGAGGCAGGCCTGAGCGAGACGTCTAGGCGACAGCGTGTAAATTGCAAAGAAGTTGAAAGCAAAGCGAGAGCGCCATTCCTGGGCAAATCGCGAGAATGTTTCGAGCGAGAACGCGATTCGTTAGACGATGCGGGGGTTCGCAAGGATCCTCCGGAATCCTTATGAATCCTGAAGAATCCTTCGGGCCTCGTCGGGATTCTCTGGGATCCATAGGAGTCCTGAATAATCATTAGTAAATCATGGAATCCTCTGACTCTCTACGGATCCTGGGGGATCCAAAGGCATCCTCAGGAATTAACTGGAATTCCAAAAGATCCTTTGTAGCAGTTCCTCGGGAATCCACAGGGACCCTCTGCAATCCCAAGGAACACGCAGGAATCCATAAGAATCCTCAGGAACCATTGCGATTCCCTGAAATCCATACGGATCCTGAGGACTCGATAGGAATCCCCAGGTCCACAATAATCATCAGGAACCTATCGGAATCCCATGGACCCCCGAGGAATCCTTGGGATCCTGCGGGGCTCCTATGGGTTCCTACAGGTTCCTTGGGGTTCCTGGGGATTCCCTTGAATTCCTGAAGATTCCCGAAGAATCCCGAGGATTCCGATGGATTCCTGAAGGATTCCTGGGGGCTCATATGGATTCGAAAGGATTCCTGGGCGGTTCTGAAAAATCCTAAGAATTCCTTCGGATTTCCACGGGTTCCAAGGGTTGCCTGAGGATTCCTGTGTATTCCTAATGGGGTCCTCAATGATCATGGGGATTCCTATGGATTCCTAAGGATTCCAGGGAGCTCGGATGGAAGTCATATGTCTTCCTTTGTATTCCCATGGATACCCTGAGGAGCCCAAGGGATTCCTAAGGATTTCTATGGATTCGCACGGAATCCTCAGGATACTGAAGGATTCTGAGGGATTCCCATTCCTCAGGATTTCCTGGCATTCCTAAAGATTCGTAGATCTTCCAATGAAATCCTGAGAACTCCGACGGGCTCCTATGGATTCCTGGAGATCCCTGTGGAGTCCTGACGATTCTTCGGGGTTCCTGCGCATTCCTATGGATTCCTGTGGATTGCCAGGGATTCCTGAAGATCTCTATGGGGTCCTAAGGATTTCCGGGGATTCCTGCGGATTCTTCCTAATCCCTTGCAATTCCGGTGGGTTCCTGAGGATTTCTGTAGATTCCTATGGGTTCCTATGGGTTCCTACGGGTTCCGCAAGGTTCCAAGGGGTTCCTAGGGATTCCGAAAGATTCCTATGGATTCCTTCGGAATCCGAATTGTTCCTGACGAGTCCTGGGGACTCCTGCGAAATACTTAATATACCTCCGGATTTCGGATTTCTACAGATTCCTACAAGTTCCTGGGATTCCTCATGTTTCCGATGGATTCCTGAGAATCCCCTTGATGTCTGGAGGATTTCGGAAGATTCAGAAAAGTTTCTGAGGATATTTCTATGGCTTCTTGTGGATTCCCACGGATTCCTATACATTCCTAAAGACTCCTAAGAACTTATAAAGATTCCCGAGGAATCATCCGGAATCCAAGCGAATC